CCCCCCCCCCCCCTCTCTCCCTGTACGGAAAATGCGGACTGTGTTCCACCCTTGTTTGTATTCGTGTACAGGTCCACAGGCTGCGGAACGAGCAGACTATTTACGAAGCACAATATCCCGAACGGGTACAACTACTGCGTACCATGGGCTTCGAGTGGGAGCACACGGCGGTGCCAGACGAGTGGGAACTCATTATCTTGGGTGCGTCATCGTTGTTGTCGTTTGTGGTGGTGATACGAAAATATGTTGTGAACCATGTGTCCTCCCTCCCTTAAGAAAGTTTACGCCAGACTACAGAGCAGAAAGGATGCGTAAGACGGGGCTCAATAGGTTCGTTGATGCCCCTTCTGTAGCATAGTGAACGGTTAGTCTCGGGAGCTGGTGCCGCACCGCAAAATGAAATTCACGTATTTCGCCCTCTCCCTTAGACATGTGATCGTTGTACGCTCAACGAGTTCGGTTGTAGCATTTCCGCTGGCCATCATCAAGTCTAGCACCGACCCTCGCTAGTACACCCCCCGCCCACATCGTCTCGCCTTGCTCGCTTCGAAATTCATTGTTGTCGGAATGAAGGGATCGGGGTGTTCTTCGGCATCCACGGGCATTCGCGAGTACCCATGAGGTTTGTCGTGCCGGCTGAAGAGCCCTGGCCGATGGAGATCTGGGGACACAAGCTGGGCTCGCGTATCGCGCAGATGAGGATGACGGGTGAGTGGGTGAAGAAACACACTCTTTTGTCTTGTGTGTCTTTTCTATGTCCTTTTTTGGACGCCTCAGGGCGGGGACACCTTTGCCCACGTCTCCGGGTGTTGGCGGGCGATGTTGTCAGGGGACACGCTGAGCCAACCATCCCCGGGTTTCTGTTTTTCGGATACAGACACAAAAGATGGGCCTTTCTAGGTCCATGGTCAACGCGTGGCTCGAGAGGCAGGTGACACTCCCCCGCTGTGTCGCACAGCACTTCTCCGGTGGCTGAATTTGGGGGCGGGGACAGCGTGATATCTTCCCCGGGGTTTCGATCATTGGCGAGGCATGGTACATTGGTAGTCGGTTTGTCGAGAGAAAACAGACACACCGCGGTCCAGGCCCTTTTTCTTCCGGTGTTCCCAATGTTTTGGCTTTTTTTTCGCTTCGGTTCCTTTTCGGCGCGTCTCACTGCTGTTTCGTCCCCGCCGGCCCTTGCCAGGGTGTCGTCATGGCATGTTGAAAAGTACTAGTATACGTCAAACACAGAGAAAGACAACCGGTTCGAGATGTAACGACAGTCAGTCGAAGAAGATGTGCTGAAGTCTTTGCAGTTAATGTCGGAAAAACCGGCTCGTTACTCCCTCGTTTTGAGTCTCTTTGTGCCTATACACTGAAAAACTAGCTACGCCAGCTGGTGCTAAGCACGAAAAACATCTGGTTTGTTTCTCCCCGGGATCCCCTCCCCCTTTGCATGGCTTCCCTCGTGTCACTTTTCCATCCCCTCTCTGGCAGGGCGCTGGCTGGGGCAAGACGAGAAGACGACGGAAGAGAGACGGACCGTTCTTGAGCAGTACGGGTTCGAGTGGCGCCTTAGGGTGAAGGACGACGAGTACGATGCTGATGGCAACCCGGAGGAGTTCTCCATTCTCTGCGAAGCGTTGAAGGTGATAAGCGATCAGAGGGGTGTCACCGTGTATTTTGTCGCATGTTAAAAAGTGGCGGGAGGTGAAAAGCGATGCATGGGTTGTCACCGTGCATTTTGTTGCATGTTAAAAAGTTGGGGGAGGTGAAAAGCTATGCGCGGGGTGTCACCGTGTATTTTGTTGCAGGTTAAAAGTGGGGTGTGCGGCTGTCGCCGTGTATTTTGTGGACGTGAAAGCGATAGGAGGGGTGTGTGTTGGTCACCGTGTGTTTTGTTGAAGGTGAAAACTGATGGAGAGGTTGTGCGGCTGTCGCCGTGTATTTTGTGGACGTGAAAGCGATAGGAGGGGTGTGTGTTGGTCACCGTGTGTTTTGTTGAAGGTGAAAACTGATGGAGAGGTTGTGCGGCTGTCGCCGTGTATTTTGTGGACGTGAAAGCGATAGGAGGGGTGTGTGTTGGTCACCGTGTGTTTTGTTGAAGGTGAAAACTGATGGAGAGGTTGTGCGGCTGTCGCCGTGTATTTTGTGGACGTGAAAGCGATAGGAGGGGTGTGTGTTGGTCACCTTTATTGCACCGGGAAGATGCATAGCTCGGTAAGGTTCGCCACGTCAACTCGTAAGTTTTCGATAGGACCTGTTGATAGCGTTCCTCCGTGGGAGGTTAGTCTTTGGGTGTGGTGCATGCTTGGACGCGTTTTGCTGAGTCTTTCTAAATGCAAGGTACGCCTTCAGGACATATTACATACATCATCACTCATTGTTATTGGATAACTTTTGAACGGGCAGTAGTTCGCGTTGAGAGTAATTGGTGTGTTGTTTTTGTCGGTGAAATTGCTTCCGTGCGAGCCGTAGGGGCCGAATAACGACCGCTTTTGATTGGTCTCGGCACGAGCTACAAAGCGCAGCAGTCATGCCAGCAATCGATCGATACATGCTGGGCCCCCGATAACTCAGCTATTTTATGATACGACGACCGATCGCTTGATTGGTTCTGCGAAAACCCCGTGGCAAATGCTTGCTTGCTTGCACGGACTATTGTTACAGGTGTACCGGGAGCTGGGAGGGTCCGTGCCCAACATGCCTCCGACGTGGGTGGTTCCCAACGCGGACCCTTGGCCAATCAGAACACGGGGATTTCCGTTAGGGGCCCAAGTGCGGATCATTCGGTCTCGACAGGTGGCGATTGTTCTCAATATTTTCATGGTATCGGGCATAGTCGCAAGTTCCCTTGAATCGGAGGGTCGGTTGAACCTTGACGTGTTTGTTTTTACGTCCGTGTGGGTAGGGTTTCTCGGTATAGTTGATGCATAATGTGTACGGTATGTATGCAACAATTGCCATTCTGATGCTGCTGTGTAACGATGGCGAAAGGGTCCCGTGACCCCCCAGTTGGCATGAACATGCTGGAGTGTATATCATGCTGTTGTGTCTGTTATCGGCTACTATGCTTTCGTCGTATCACATATCAAGCGACCACCATTTGCTCCGTCTTCTCAGGGCGCATGAGCTCCCATTTGTTCCGAGTCAACACAGCAGTGACACCATCACAAAGTACACTGCCGAGTTAAACCTAACAACCCATTTTTACTGTTGTTGATGGTGATGATGTCACGATAAGGACCGTTGTCGAAATCATGAGAAATATCGATTGTCAGAAAATGATGTCGGTTGTTGAATCATGAAAATTCCTAATGGGTTATACTTTCAGAAATACGCCAAGGACAGCCAGGAGAAGACGGACACTTTGCTGGCTCTTGACGTGCCCATCAACCCCAACATCACCAACGAGAAGCTCGGGGGCCGGTGGGGTGGACCCACGGAGACTCGGTTCAACAAGGTGAGGGTAGTGGATTGGACTGTCGTTACCGCGGAATGCTCGAGATTTGTGCTCGAGAATAACGGTCAGCTCTTTGTTGCTTCTGTAAAGAGTGCATGCAGTGTGTGAAGAAGGTTCGAAGTATTTTGGAAGGGATTGCAGGTCCTACCCTGGTCGATTGCCTGGACGAACGTTTGGTTTTGGCCGTTGCCGTTTGGCTCCGTGCTCCACGACCCATGGTTGTCATCGTGTCTCTTTTGCTGGCAGCGACGTTTGTTGGCGGTATTCATCAGACCGTTGTCGAATGGGCCATGCATCTACTCCATAAACGGTCGTTGTCATCGTGGTTGACTCGCTGACAGCGATATTTGTTGGCGATGTGCATCAGACACTTGCCGGATTAAAAGCGCGTCAAAAGTCTACCCGCAGATCTGCTTCTTCCCCGCAGTATCGCAGATCCCATTTTCTCATTTCGCCATGAACGTCGTTGCGACACCGTCTTGGCCCTCATCGCCCCGAACATATATTAATGTGGAGGGAGGGCTTGAAGCCAAAATGATCGATGCAAGGAAATGCTTGAGAACGAGGTTCCGCCGCGTCGCCTCGTTTCCTACGTTCTTCCCTCGTTTAACACACGTTGTCGTCTGTTTCCGAAACAGCTGTGCAAGGCGCTGGAGACGTTCGTTATGCTCTACGGTCACGCGCAAGTCCCGAACACGTTCGAGGTGCCGAGGGACCCGAGCTGGCCGGAGGAAACTTGGGACGTTAAGCTCGGGAGGAGTCTCGTCAACATCGTTTCCAAGGTACAGCATGTATCCTTTTCAGGTTTATTGTTCAGGTGTTGGACTAAGTGAAGTATTTCACGATAATGTTGCAACAAGAAATGTGAGACAAGGCAAGTCGTTTCAGGTTAGTGTTACGATCGATAAGGTGCGAGACTACTTTGAGGTGCCCCGGGATGTTGTTGTTGTTGTTGTTGTTGTTGTTGTCTTCACATTAATAACCGTTCCGGTCTTGGTTCAGTAGTATACGTTCCAACACGCGCACACAGGTCTATTTATGCGGACCCCTTCCGTGGTCACGGGCCAAGTACCCGAACAGAGTAAGCAAATAATTCATGTTAAACAGGTGTGAGACCATTCTAGGTTCTCGCTAACTTCTCGCGCTTCGGCTATTCTCTCTCTCTCTTCTCTCTGAGTTCAGAGCCTTGTAGAATAGCACGCAGGACGCTTGTGTCTTGGTAGACGTGTTTTGGACCAGCAAAACACGGAACTTGTTACTTCTTGTGGCCTTTCGTTCGCTCTTGTTTTGAGCAGGGAACGTTCATCAAGGGGTATCCAGACCGGCAAGCCAGGCTTGAGGCGCTAGGATTCGACACAGACGTGAGTACCATCTCATCAATCTTATCATGGTAATATCCTATCAACCTATCACAGTATCATCCCACCAACCTCCATTAGTATCATCTTATCTTGTTGTATAGTATCGTGCGCGTTTCCGTGTGGGCAACGCTGTTGGTGATGGTGCGACAAGACCCCCCCTGCTTCGCCAAAGCACTGCTGTTCTGTCTACGATGACTATGATGAAGAGAGGAAGCGGGCGGAAAATATGTGTGTAGTACCAGCAAAACTGTCTACCAAGCACTTGGGTAACGTAAGGCAAGACTTGAGCATTCGGTTGCCAAATATTTCCAACCCCTGTGGCGTGGACTAAATAGTCATTCTCATATGTTCTACAGGTAACCAGAGCCATAACCATTTGTAGAATGAAGTACAAGTAAAACGTGAGTGAGCGGCGTCCATAGGTGTCCATTTTGCTGAAGGACTCGTCGCACACTTTTGGTTTGGAATCACCCACATCAGCCAAAATGACGCTGAATTACAGTGTGGTCGTGCAGCCCTAGATTCCGATGGGTTGCCATTTATTCGGCGCCTGCTTCTGCTTGGGCTCTACAGTCATCTAACCGGTTTGTCAATGTTTGCACAAAGTTTATACAACGGCATGCCCATCGACATTCTTGGGAAGGAGTGTGTTGGGATGACGCATGACCGACCGCATGCTGTGGGCCCACTTGTCTGTCTGGCTGTACCTCTGTCTGTACGCCTGTACCTCATCTCTCTTTCTCTCATGTCTGACTTGACACGTTTGTTTGCTGCTTATTTGCCATTGTTGTGGCCACTGTCAAACCTGCTTGCGCTGGGCCCATTGCTGGGGTCTTCGTCCTTCAGCCAGGAGGGATCAGGGGCTTCAAGGAGCTTGTGAAGAGCGGCATGTCTGAGGCCGACGCCCTCGCGGAGAGCCAAGCCTCGTTAGACTTCGCCAGCGAACCATCTGGGGTAAGCAGCAGCGTTGCTGTTCGTTTGTGTCCGTCGCAGTCTGGGCGGTAATGTACGTTGCCGACGTGAACGTTGTTTGTTATCATGGCTAGTAGTTCGTGCAATGCGGTAAGGCAAAGCACCGCAGGGGGTTGGTGTACATTGCCGACGTGAACTTGCCTTTTTTGTTATCATGGCGAATAGTTCGTGCAATACGGTAAGGCAAAGCACCGCAGGGGGGGTGGGCAGGGGGGCCTCAGGGAGCGGGACCCTTTTGTTTGACCACGGGTTCGAGAAAACGGCACTAACGCTGTGAGCGCTGCTTTAACGTAATTAACGGGAAAAAAAACTCACGAGACTTCGACGAAGATTAAGGGAAAAAAAAAAAAAACGTTTTCGGGTGTTAATTTGCTTAAAAGTCTAGTGTAATGCTGTCGGTGGTGCGAGCAGCTTTTTGTGTCGATGTGTAGTTGTTTGTTATGAGCAGCTGCTGCTGCTTACGGCATTTTGCAACATGGTTTATACCAGTCGGAGCTCGACTCGCGCTAGCCGCAGTTTTGTCACTCACTCTCACACACACACCCTCCTCCACTAATTAATTTAAAAGCTTGCGGCTACTGGCGGGGCTGGATCAGAGGAAACGACCGAAATCGACTCCCAGATGCTGCTGGGCAACGTGGTGGACTCTTTGAGAACAGAGGGTGCGGAAGGCGGCGGCGGGGGGAGGGCTGGTCTGGCGCCGTCCCCGCCCCAGCTTGACGGAGAGGAGGTGAGAGAATAGAGGAGGGGTTATTGGTTTGGTGTTTTCTTGCTTTTGGTTTTCGGCGAGTGCGTGTTTGTGCACGTGATGTTTCTTCTGCTGCTGTGTGTGTGTCTGTCCCATCTATCTATTCTGTCGCCGGTTTTCAGGCCTTTCGGCGTATATGCTTGTCGTATCAGCCGTGGTCATACAAGAGGAAACGGTCATACAGGAGCTTGTTTCATTTTTTTGTTTCGGGATGGTGTGCGTGTAGACATTTCTAACCTACAGCCGCAGTTCAAGTCGTTTGTATTCCTTGTTGGTATCGTTGCTCAGGGGCTGACGAACAGCTGAACTACACTAGTTAGTTTTCTATCGATCGATCACGTAGGAGTAGCTGTGCGCATGTTTGCTGCGAGTAATCACCCCCCCGGAGGTGTGTACATGTAGGACGTTCGTTCTCTTCTTGTTGTCTATTGTTACAGTAGCGGTAAGAGTTCGTTTGATTTGTCGTGAATGCGGGAATTCTCCGGGCTTCTTTGGTTGATTTTTTCGCCCGAAGGCCAAGAGATTGCTTCGGAAAATTTCGAGTGTTTTTTTGCTCCGTCGAGAAGTGATTTGGGGGAGCTCCGTCGTTACGTTGCTTATCAGAACCGTATGCACCTCGGGAATAAGTACATGGGGGCATGCACACAACGCGTTTATCCCTGACTTTGTTTGCGAGTTGCTTGGAGAAACTGCAGGAATCCCATGGTTCCATCCCCTTCGTGACGAGACGTGAGATATGCACCTCGGGAATAAGTACATCTGGGCATGCACACAACGCGTTTGTTCCTGGTTCTGTGTGCGAGTTGTTTGGAGAAATTGGAAGCATCCCATGGTTCCATTCTCTTCGTAACGAGACGTAAGCGAGCGTGACAATCTCACGTCTCGTCACGAATGGAATGAAGGGAACTCACAAGAAAGTAAGGATCAAGCGCGTTGTATGCATGCCCCGATGTACTTCTTCCCGAGTTGCATACGGTTCGAAGAAGCAACGTACGACGGAGCCCCCGCAGAAAGACTTGTCGACGGAGCCAAACTCACACACACACAATAACAGAGTGGACACACTGCCGTTGGCTTTCGCAAAAAATGTCACGCCCCTCATCAACAGAATGACACGTTTGACACGCATCATTCGGTCAGGCTGCTGTTGACTTTGGCACAAGTTTTCACGCCCAGCGTCTATTCGGTAAAAAGAACCCGGCAATTTTTGTGCCATGATTGGCAGGTAGAAGAAGGTGAATTCCTGGGGCAGCAGCCCCCGCCACCGCGGGCGATCGCGCAACCGAACTGGATGGACACGACCGAAGGCAAGGATGGCGATGAAGATGCGGACGAGAAGAAGACCGTGGTGCCCTCTTTCGTGAGTGTGCTTGCTCGCTCTTCACAGCGATCTTTATCCCACTCACTGCAAATACGTTCCCTTGCTCTTGCCGAAAGTTTTTTTTCCCATTCACGGCCTGCGAAGAGATTTCCTTGCTCTTGGCGAAAGTTTTTTCTCGCTCTCTCTTCAAACACATTTACTTGCCCTTGCCGAAAGGTTTTTCTCGCACTCACTGACTGCAAAGACATCCCCTTCGACCACGGTGGTGTTGTTTTCTGGAACGAATTTGCTGTCTTTCAGTGATTGCATGTATATTTGTTTCCTGAGAAGGAAGGAAGGTGTTGGAGCCTTCGCCGCCGCCTGGGGGCTGAAACACATCAATCAATCACTTTTGTCCGGCACAAAGAACCGTACTTGTAGCGAAAAGTGATTCCGTCCGGAGTTGGCTCGTCGGGCAACAGCAGTGTCATCAGCGCGTGTTCAAAGGCGACCAATAGTAGCAGGCGGCAGGACAAGCCCACTGCTGGCTGCCAGCTGCCCGTTGTTATGTTTCCCAAGCTCGAAGAGCTATTTATCACACAGCAGTTCATGGGTTTTGACTCGAAGGGCCCAGGGAAGCTATGAATAGACGAGCCAAACAAAACGAAAATATAAATCTCCGTTCAAGCTTGTAGTCCGTGTGTTGTTTGCGCAATAACTGAGTCGTCTGTGGCATGTACTCTACGACAAGGATGCTTTTACGCAGACCAACCACGATGATGAACCACGAGGGCTGATATTCGAACGCCGACACGCAGTTAACCATGGAAGACGAACAACAACAAACGACCGACGGTGCATCCCCTTCCCCCCCTCCTCTCTCCCCTGCCTTAACGTGTCCCGGCGGAGCCCCCTCCGCCTCACGCACAACCCATG